TAAGATGGAAAACCCTCAGGTTAGACCCACCACCATCTCACTGTAAACTGGACTTAGCTTTCTAGTCTTTTCATCTACCAAAGAGGGGGCTTGACTCAACAGCTTGTATGGTCCCCTCCTGTTCTGAAATTCAGGCACTGTTGTCTAAAACCCAGATGGTGGGAGCCACCTTCCAAGCCAGTGGTTCTCAACCTTCCTAATGCCGCGACCCTTTAATACAGTTCTTCATGTTGTGGTGATCCCCAACCATAAAATTATTTTCGTTGCTACTTCATAACTGTAATTTTGCTACTGTTAGGAATCGTAATGTAAATATCTGATATGCAGGATGTATTTTCATTGTTACAAATTGAACATAATTAAAGCATAGTGATTAATCACAAAAAACAATATGTAATAATATATATGTTTTCCGATGGTCTTAGGCGACCCCTGTGAAAGGGTCATTCGACCCCCAAAGGGGTCATGGCCCACAGGTTGAGAACCGCTGTTCTAAGCTGATACCAGGGCAAGATTGTATTCTCTTGCAATACCAGGGTATCAGTGAGTTTTCTGTTTCTGCAGGCCAACATTTAGGCTCAGGTCAGAAAACCAGGTTTATTCCATCACAAAATGAGGGTTGAATTTATTTACCTTCTCATCTCTTCATTCTGGTATGCAAACCAGTAGAAATTCCCGTCTTTCCCCCATTAATACTACCCAGTAATGTGTGGATCAACAAGTGACAGTTAATGGCCAAAAGGGAAAATATTTAAATTTGCATAAGTGATAGACCAAGAGCAATTTATTTTCTACCTTCTCTTTTTCTTGGTTAAGTCTTTAAAAATATGCATTTAGAAAATATTTTGCTACCACATAAAATAGAAATTAAAAGAATTGCTCAGAAAGGGAAGAGAGCCTGACCAGCATGGCCCAGTGATTGAGCGTTGACCCATGAACCAGGAGGTCATGGTTCAATTTCCATTGTGGGGCATGCAGATGGCAGCCTATCAATGATTCTCTCTTATCATTGATGTTTCTAGCTCTCTCTCCCTCTCCCTTCCTCTCTGAAATCAATAAAAATATATTAAAAAGAAAGGGAAGAGAAATATTTAAATCTCCAACAAGGAATCCCTAGAGGAAAAATAAGTTCCATAATAAACTCTGCACAATTCCTATTGATCTTTCAGGGTTTTTCTCTATTTAAATTATACTAATCAATCAATATTTAAGGCAAGTTTGATAGAAAACAGCTAGGTAGAGAATACATAGAAAAAAATGACATGTGATCAATTTTGTTTATAAATTCAGTAATTAAGTATATGGACATACTGAAAACTGCTATCAGTAATACAGGAGCTATTTTCTCTCTATACATTTAAAAGATATGTTTGATAACATTTTAATATTTGTTACTTAGATAAGACCTATGATGTAAATAAACACCAGTTTTCATTGGCTATCACGTGGTTGTAGTTAACAGATTCATGTTCCAGCTATAATTATCTTACTACTGATGTTAAGCAGCTTTTCATTGAAGATTTGCTTTTCTCTCTTCCCACAAATCCATAATGAAGAAAATGACTTCTGAACACTTTTATTTCTTAAACAGATGAAACACACATTCTTTTCTGATTGATTTTTATTTAGTTTTTATAATTAATTCCGAGGTTGGCTTTTGCTTGGTATTTCTTTCTTCATGGTTGTGGTACCAGTGAAACCTCTGATTTGAGAACTGAATGAGTTACAGTGGAGAAGTCATGTGTTTGCATCTGTGGACTCTAGAAAAGCCCATGAGAATCGATGGCAGCGAGCCGCAGTTTGCCGACCACTGGCTAGGAGGCTTCCAGGCCAGGATCAAATGTACACAATGTCTACTAATCACTCACCACAGGGTAAGGCCTAAACCACACCAGGGCTCCGGGAGTCACAGATCCCTTTCATATTCGGCGGCAGCTGCACACCTGGGCTCTGATAGCAAAAGGGCAATGGGTAGGTCTGGAGCCCTCTGGGCCCATTTGAATCTATTCTCCATTTTTGAGCCATGACTGACAGACCAAGCCGTTTCAATCATCAGGGAAAGGTGAACTCCATCAAAAACTCATTCACATGGCAGTCTAGATCTTGTCTTTTCAGAGCAAAGTCTAAAAACCAGTTGGGACCACTTCTTACTCAGAAACCCATCTCTTTTCCCCCCTGTTTTTTCACTTTGTAATTGTTTTCCTGGGATGTTCCTAAAGTTTTGGCTCCTAATGACTGACCTGGCCACCAACCCTCCTTCTAATTAACCACGAATATATGATGGTGGACAACAAGAAGGAAAAACAACTCAGAAAAGTAACACAGTCCCACTAAGAATGCAGTGACAAACTCAATACCTTCTATAAGGTCTTCGATTGCTTTCCTCACTCCCCTGTCAAAGGCTCGAGCGTCGGCAGGACTTTGGAAAGTAAGGCCAAACTTCCTATTGTCGACCTTCCAATGATGAAAGGTTGGATTGGCTTTGGTGTAGACCAAGTCCTTTCTGACATAGCATTCCAACACCACCTGAAGGATTGAAATACACAGGCTGGTTAACTTGTGAAGCAGTCATGCTGGTGTTTGGTTACAAAACTCTAACTGGGAACTGTCCATCTCTGGTGGCAACTAATGAAAACTCTCCTCTCCTGCCTTCAGGGATCTGAGTCTCTTCATGGGGAAGGCCTCTGCTTGCCTGTGCGGACCATCCATCCACTCTCTATTGACCTGTCACCCTACTCCACGCCCCACCCCCTTCCCCTTGGTGATCCCACTGTACTGTGGTACTCCTTCTCATTCCTCTTCCTCACTCCCTGACTGGGGGGCACTAAGCTGGGGTCCAGGTCTTAGGGCTTTGCTCTGTTCCAGGTGACTGGCTCCATGCCAGGGCCTTTGTATTCGTGGCTCTCAACTGTCCCTCCTCTGTCCTAATGGGTGTTTCCTGGTGACCTCAAATCCAACATGTTGAAAAACTAACTTAATCGGCTCTGAAATTTCTGCCACTAGCTTCTTCCAACTTCCCCACATCTAGCAATGCCAATCCCTCTTTGTTCATTCTCTTTGGTTTAAAATCTCCGCGGGTACCTTTGCCTCTTCTGCTTTCTCTGCCCCCCGTATTATTAATCACCAAGTCCATTTCATTTTTCCTTCAATATCTTTTATATAAATTCATTTAAGTTGCTACTACCCTGATCTGGGTCTCTATTAACCTTTTATCTGCATTATTAGAACAATCTCCAAGTTTCTAGCCATTTTGCTTCAGAACTGCCTTTAACTAAGCTATAACTTTGCATAGATTGTCTCAGACCCTTGGTTTGTTTTTTTTAATCTCTGAAATGGAAATAACACTAATATTATCAGTGTGAACATATACAGCATAAAAGCAGCATTGCAATCATGTGAATGTAAATTCCCTTCTTTATTCACAAAAAAATCTCTAAAATATCAACAATATTTATTCCTATGTACACCAAAATAATTTTGCTAAGTGTTATTAATAACTTTGATTTTGTTCTGGTGAAGCCCTTCATTGAACCAAATAAAATCTTACTAAGAGAAGGAAAAGAGTAAAGGCCTGCCTAAATTAGTATAAATTCAAATTAGAGACTATTCTTAAATGAGTTCAGGTTTCAAGGATACATCTAAGCATACTAAGAAATTAAGTGCTGCCTACTAAATGTTCCCTAATTTACAAACAGATGAAAACAACAGTCAAACTGGTATATCAAGTAGCAGTCCCAAGCAGTTAACTTTATTACTTTGTATTGAAAGAAGACAACAGTCCTTTCACAGTTCTATTTATGATTAAAATGCTTATTATGGCTGTTTCCCCCTAAGAATAGTGCGATGGTTAAATGTCAGCCCAGCCCCATCCCTAATTGGGGAAATCCAAATAACCAAGGCTTTAACTAACAAATGTTATCTATTTTAGAATTTAATAGTCTCAATTCAAAGTCTCAAAATAAACTTTTTGTAAAAACAAAGACTTCCAGTTTCTCCATATTTATAGCGTGAAAAAATGAGTCTTCGTTTGACATTTTCCAAGATTAAGATTATTACAACGGTTCATTTTCTTACAGAAATTAAAAAAAAATGACATCATTATATATCTAAGTTTAATGACAAAAATGAAAAAGTTCAGATGCTTTCATCTTACCAATAGGTACAGTCCCTCTAATGAAGTTTAGGCATTAACTTAAAACTTGAAAATATCTTTTTAGTCTGGCTGGTGTGGCTCAGTGGTTGAGCATTGACCTATAAACCAGGAGATCATGGCTCAATTCCTGGTCAGGGCACATGCCTGGGCTTCGGGCTGGATCTCCATTGTGGGGCGTGCAGGAGGCAGCCAATCAATGATTCTCTCTCATTGATGCTTCTATCTCTCACTCCTTCTCCTTTCCTCTCTGAAATCAATAAAAATATATCTAAAAATAAAAATATATTAAAAAATTATTGAAGCTTGACCCTTGAATGGACATCTTTTGTGTGATGAAGTGGAAGTACACATAATTGGATTCTCATCTCTGCTTCTGCGTCCAGTCTGCTGTCATGTCACTGGGGTTGCAGTGTATGAAGAAAGCCTGGCTTTGCGCAAATGCGGTTGGGAAAGGGAAGAGGCTTTCTAACAGCCTTTTCACTTCTGCTGCACAGGGAAGAATGACAACTGTCCCAAGGAAAAGCACCAGCACAATTAACTACTTCAGTTGTGAGTTAACCTGCCTGCTTTTTTCATGGGTTTCCTTGAAAGAACCACTGACAGCTGAACTACGGTTACTCAAACGTGTGTCTTTGGCAGATCTTTTCTTTAATATGAGCACAGTGAGCCTGTCACTTCCAGGAAAACAACTAGAGTTATTTGTTGCCAATAATAAAATTTGAACTTTCAAGTGAAAGAATTGTGGACAGTTCCCCAACACTGCAAGACGTTTCAAATGAGATTAGTGGTGACATTGTAATTTTTGGATACGGTTGGTTAAATGTACCAACATTTGGAAGATCTGCTTAAATCATTATTTTCCAAATGACCAATGTATGAATGTTACAAAATCAAGAGTGAGTAAAAGATGTCATCAGAGTGAAAGATAAACCAGTGGATTTTATTGTAAGAGTATGAAAAATTCATTGATATGGCTTCAGATTCCACATTCATAAAACTCCACAAGCCAAGTTTTGGTGTAGTATCAAAAAAGTATATCTATAACTAACTGAAAAGATTAAAGTACTTCTCCCTTTTCCAACTACCAACCTGTGTGAGGCTGGATTTTCTTCAACCAAAAACAACATATTGCAAGAGACTGAAAGCAGAGTAGACACCAGAATCCAGCCATTTCCCATTAGCCTGATATTAAAGAGATTTGCAAAAGCAAAATAATACTACCCTTCTCCTATTTTTTATTCTGGAAAATAGTTATATAGTTAGCTCTCATAAAGAATGCCACCTATGCTAAAACTGCTACTTAAGATTAAAAATTTTTCAGTTTGAATTTCTAGAATGGTAAATATTAGCAGCTATACCTCACAGCGTCAAAATATTTTTGGGGTCCTCGATAAATTTTCAGTGCAAAGGGAGCCCGAGACCAAAAATGCTCGAGAACTGTTGTTGTCCACAAATCTTTGCGGGCGAGTCTATTTTTACAGGACAGGGCTCGGGGTAAAACTGCCAGGTAAAAAGGCATGTACCTCTAAAACCAACCGATATCCTGCCACACTGCCTTTCGAAGAGCCCAGCCAGCTGGAGCTCCCACCTGCGCACGGGGGCGAATGGAATGATCAACCTTTTAGCTTTTGTGGTTCATTTTCATAAAGTGGTTCTCACAGGATTTGTTTCAGGAGTAAACTCCTCTAACCCATCTCAAATAAGATTGAACTCAGAAATTTTCAACTTACATATAATTGCTCAGGAAAACTTGATTGTCTCCAACTTACAAAAAATGATCCCAAACACCTTGTGAACGGATGTCTGGGACCCAGACTTGTCATAAAAACAGTAGCAGTTGAGTTCACAGGCCTCAACATATTAATTCAACACCAACAAAAACCAATGTTTTGAATTTTAGAACTGCACATTGGAAAAACCGTTGACAACACGGTTTCTGTCAGAAAAAGCACTTCCTGTCCTAGCTGGAATACTGGGGATTCTGATACCATCCATCCACTCTATTCCAAAAATGATCTCCATTCGTTCCTCCAAATCCCATCAACAACCCACCTTCCACAGGTGGGAGTGCTGCTTATGGAAGCGTGGAGGCCAAAAGAAGAGTCACCATATCTCCAGGGGTGGGGAGGGGGGGATGAGGAGTGGGGTGTGAAGGTGGTGGTGGTGGTGGTGTGTGTTGTGGGACAGGGCAGAGGGAGGGAGGAAAGTACCACTGAGTATAGAAGTCCAGAATTTCCTAGAGTGCGGCATAGGTAAGGTGAGGGATGCCAAGATGGAGTAGCATAATTGGGTGTGTGATTTAAATACTAGTGGATATAAAAGTCCAGAAGCGTAGAGTCAGAATGCAGAGGGTCAGGAAGGGGACAGAGTGGCGGAGAAACATGATTGGGGAGAGGGTGAGGCACACAATCCTTTCACAACGGAAGCCGGCCCGCAAGCAGGACTGCCCTGCTGCTGTGCGGAGTTAGTAAGAAGGGACCAGGTTTTGGCTTCACAAGGAAATGGTTCCCAATGCTGGCTCTGCTGAGGCTGTGTGCCTAGACAGAGGAAATGCGTCACTTCTTAGAGCACCGAGTTCCCACCATGTGAACATAATAGTATTGCCCCCTACAGCATGTTGCAGGAATTTAACTGAGGTGATTTACATAAGGGCCCTGAACAAAACCGCAAAGGTTTACTATGTATGTCAGTGGTAAGATACAAGTTTATAAATGTATTTATAAAATGAAGGCGTTGGATGAGACAAGCTAAAGGCCATTTTAGGTTGACATATTTTATGACAAACCATAGAAATACCAGGGGGAAGAAAACATCTAAAATAATATAACCATTCAGGTAAGATAATCTGTTAACACAAAAGTAGTAACAATAAAAAGGGTAAAAGGGGGAAAACTTTTCTTTCAAAATTTTTGTAGAAAAAGAACACCAACTAAAATAAAAAGGCAACAAATGTGGCAGATGAAGATTAATATCCTTCTTATACCAGAGGGCATACATACCCATGAAGGAGAAAAGTAAGGTCCCAATAGATCAAACATCATTAACAGATAATTTAGTTGTCACTGTTTAACAAACAGAAAAACATTTGCTCTCATCAGATACCACTGATAATCTGTCGAATTGGTGAAGATGTAAAGTATCTGATCCTTGTTGTCTTAAAGGATATTCTCATAATGGTCGCAGCTCTTCGTACAGTAATCAAAAGTCATAAAAATGCGACCCTTAAGTTATTCCAAGGAAATAAAAATGTGGAAAATGCAGGTAGGTATCTACAGATGCACAGAGGCAATCCAGGGGGAAGAACCTTAATATCTGACACTAAGGAGATTGTCAAATAAACAAAAATAATCAACCTGATAACAGCAACATGGGAAGTTGCTTACAATAATGTTAGGGCAAAACCAATGACGTGCAGAACTGTTCATGAGTTCGGATTATGGCTAGTAAGAGTAAAAATATGCATGAAGAGGAAGAGCTACATCAGAGCTAAATAAAGGTGGTTGTGCACATGCGACTTTGGCTCAGTTTCGGGGTCAGAGTGACAGAGTAGCAGATACTGGTTCCAGACTCCAAGATGAGTCACCAAGAACAAGCAGTCTTTCCGAATCTTAATTTCTTCAGGTCTGACTGCACAGGCTACAAGGACACAATGATGCAACCTAACTGCAGAGCTAGCACAGGGTCAATGCTATATAAAGGGTAGTTATTTTATATTGATAGCGTGGTTATACTGCCTTTATTGTGACTATCTTATAAACGAGAATGTTTAATTATTTGACTATCATGTAGAAAATTTCTTAGACACATTTTTATTTATTTTATTTTTAGAGATGAATCAAGTGTGAAAGCAGCATTTCTATTAATCCATATATATTTACAAATTGTTCTGTCTTATTTCATAACTTTTAAAACAATAAGTGTTTGTAAAATATTATATTTGTACACTTAGCACCTCATCAACTCAACAGACACCACAGTAAAGGGCTTCAGGTGTAACGCTGACATGCTCTGCAGTGTCTCTGTGCTTTCTCTGTTGAGATCCTGTACCATCTGGCACATTCTGAATCATCTGATGGCTTTTGAGCGTATACTCCATGATTAAGTACAGATAGGGGCAGTGTTCTTCCAGGTTCACACCACCAATTACAAATAGCGTTAGTCCGGCTGGCATGGCTCAGTGGTTGAGCGTTGACCTATGAACCAGGAGGTCACAGTTTGATATCTGGTCAAGAGCACATGCCCAGGTTGTGGGCTTGATCCCCAGTGTGCTGCTTGCAGGAGGCAGCCGATCAATGATTCTCTCTCATTATTGATGTGTCTATCTTTCTCTCCCTCTCCCTCTTTGAAATCAATTAAAAAAATTTTTAATAAATAGCTTTAGACATTCAATTTCCCTTCATAATATAGAATTGGACATCCAAGTTCTTTCATGCACCTGAATGGCTTATCCATGTGCCCACCCCTGTGAGGTCATGATTACACTCCAAAGCGTGTGTGTGTGTGTGTGTGTGTGTGTGTGTGTATATTTATTTATTTTTGACCAATACAAAAGTTTATTTAACAAAAGTTCAATGTGAAAATGGACTCTATTTTTATATTGTAGTAAAACAGGTGCTATGGAGAGGGGACATGTGGAAGCAGTTGGTTTCTCTGGTAACTATAGCCATTCTTCATACTCATTCCAAGGCTTATAACATGATGATACTATTTCCTCATATTACCACCATCCCAATATTGTTCTGTTGCCTACCAGTTGCCATCTCCACACATTCACCTATCACAAGATTCATAAAGGGATCAAATCCCCGTAATATTCCTTGGACATGTCTGCCACCATTTAATTTCATTGATAACTTCTTGTCCATAAATTTTTTTAACTCGGGAGGGTGAGCTTTGCTCATGGTGGCCAAAGTGAGCTCAAAGATACTTCCAAAGCGTATATTTTTAAGCACGTAGAGTTAATATGGGAGTGTGATACCACTACTTTTTGTTACTTTCTTTTTCCAAACATGTTTTATTCATTACCTTATGGAATTAAAGCTACACTATCGTTTAGCTAAACATGTATTTAGAAGTAAACAAAAATCAGGTGGCTCCTTTTCTTTCCACCTTTTCACCATCCAACCAATCCTTGGTGGCACGCTCCATAAAAAAAACAACCCTACACTTTTAAAAAGTCTGACTTCACAGCTCACTACAATCTGATTCATAATAAAGAACCCACTTCTGTTTTGAATATCTTGTTACAGTGACAGAAAGACAGCTTAATTAATCAAAGATGCAAACAAGACTGCCGAACATACGGCCTCTGAGCATCCGAGTTATACGGTGTGTGTAAAAAGTGACTTTGCTGGAAAGACAAAGGGTTACGTTTTTGTAACTTGTCACACGCTCCACACTTATAACTTTGGAAGCTTTCATAAGAGTTTGGGGTCAGAGAAAGAAGGGAAGAGATATCCTACGGGAAGAAGGCTGTGATTTAAGGCAAAGAAATCAGTCATTGCTGATTTAACCCCCGCATCCCCCACCGGCCATTACCAGTTTGTCTTTCTGCCGTTCACCATGGATGAGAAAGCCGCTTCGTCCATTGCCTTCGGGGTGCATGACCTTACAGACCCCCACGCGACTGATCCCACCTCCTTCCTGTGGGAACCATCCCCCGCTGGAGTCATCTCTGGTCATCACCACAGCCTTGACACGCACAATATAGCTGTCACTAAAACGACAACAAGAAGAATGGGGCATGACAATGGTCTGGCAGTTGCAGGACATGTTTCACAAAGCAAGATGCCAGCATTGGCTGGACTCATCGACGGGAAACCTACGCCTGGCAGCCACCTTCAAAGGCAGCCATCTCAACTTTCAGAGAAAAACCAAAACTTTAATTAAACTCAATATAAATGTACATTTAAAAAAAAAGATGCCCAGAAACTAAAAATATTTGTTAAGATGTATGTCCAATTTCTGGGTGGTAAATATTAATGATAAAACAAATGAGCTGGCCCGGCTGGTGTGGCTCAGTGGTTGAGTGTCGACCAAGGAACCAAGAGATTGGGGTTCAACTCCAGGTCAGGGCACATGCCTAGGTTTCAGGCTTGATCCCCAGAAGTGGGTGTGCAGGAGGCAGCCAATCGATGATTCTCTCCCATCATTGCTGTTTCTATCTCTCCCTCTACCTTCTTCTCTCTCTTAAAAAAAAAAAAGTCAATAAAAACATTAAAAAAACACAAACCCACACAAATGAGGTGATCTCTATAGTTTGGTATCATACGTTAGGAAAGACAAATCTATTAAAAGGATATTATGGTTTCAACCATTAAAACTTAGTTTGTAATGCCAAGGTTTAACATTTTATAAAACTAATAAGCCTCTGATTTAGCGTAACAATAGGAGAATCCTTTTCCAAGTCACACATTCACTACACAATCACATATAGGTGGGAAATATTTCAATTTGAGTGCGCTTTACACGTGTGTAACCTCTTGATTCTATTTTTCCAGTCTAAATTTCAATTTCACATTAAGTTCTTTTGCACAGTTGCCAAACATCCTCTTTCTTCTCCAGAGACCAACTCTAGCTTCTTTTCATTCTTCTGTCACTTTGCGGAAAATTTACTTGGATTTTCAGCAAGGCCATTAAATCTCACTTGCTGCTCCCTTTCTTTGGAAAGAATTCATTTTTTACTCATTCAAACATATATCCCCGTCTTCTGTACGGCAGGCACTGGGCCAGATTCCAGGGAACAAAGATGCAGGGTAATAACACAGAACCCCCTCCCTCCGCCTTCCGGGCCGGCGCTGAGCCTGGCCACGCGGTCTGCAAGCTGCTGGAGACCATTTGGACAGTCCCTCTGCCCCTCGTCCCTGATCCCCTTACTCACCCAAAGACACAGCCACCTAGATTCCCTGGTTCCCTAGAGAGCTTCCCCTCCCCTGTGACCCAGCTCCCTTCCCCCTGTGCCCATCAGAATCAAGGTCTGACACCCCACCCCTTACCTTATCCCCCTTCCTCAGACTTTTTTTTTGGTGGTAAAATATACATAAAGTAAAATTTACCATTTTAAATGTACAATTCTATGGTATTGAATTAAGCACATTCACATTGTTCTGCAATCATCCCCATCACCCACCTCCAGAACTTCTTTCATCTCCCCAGACTAAAAATGCATACTCACTAACTCCCCATTCTCTCTTCTCCCCAGCTCCCGGCAGCCACCATTCTACTCTGGGTACCTCATGTAAGATCCTTTCACTTTCTTAACCTCAAGGCACAGGTGCTCCGGGCTGAGCCTCGGGGCCCTGCACACACTGGGCTGCTTTCTCACCTCCGTTGTAGGCCAGTGGTCCTCTCCCCAGCTCCTCTGAAGCTCCTGAGTCTGACCATGCCCCCACTACCCCGCTTCAATCTGCAAATCTATGGGTCACTCCCCCGCATTCCTTGAAAACACTCATTGTCCCTCCATCTCCCCACCATGATCCCCGTCATGATTCTTTCTAATTTCATTATTCACCCAAAGGATCCTTCCAATTTCTTGGCCCCTCAGTTTCTGGAACTCTTCTGCTCCTATGACCTGGTCTTCCACCCAACCTCTCCCACCCATGCCGAGTCACAGCCTTAACCTTAAACAATAGCTGGACAACTTCCATGACCTCAATTCTAACCATCCTGCCCTCCAGCCACCGCCTCCCGAATTTGCAAGCTCCCTCCCTCCCTCAACTTCAGTAACTGCACCCACTGGGGCCAAAATCTAGTATTTTCACTGTCCCCCCACCCGCCCCCCAGAACTCCGTTCCCCACCCCTTTATGCTCTCACTTGATTCTCTACCCAACTTAAGCTCCATGGTCTATCATGACACTCTTTTGCACAAAACCTTAACACATTTGTTCTCTCATTTTAATTGCCTGGCGAAACCCCAACTCGGGAAATCCCACCATCTACTCAACTCCATGCTCCCACCCAGGCTGCTGAATATGGTTAGAGGGAAACCCCCACTCTGTTTAACTTACAGTTCTAGGGTAAAAGTCATAAGCACTAACCTCCATGGGTCCTGAAGTGCCACCCAGCATCTGCTACATTCCCCAAGATCACTTCACGTGTCCTCCTACCACCTCCCTCTCAGATGATGGATGAGCTCGCTTTAATTTCAGTGAGAAAATAGACACCATCAGAAAAGACCCTGCACCTGTGCCCACCAGCACGCCGACGACTCTGGACCAGGACTCTCTGCCTCTCCTTTGGTAACTGGCTAAACCGTCCACGGTCCAACGTCAGTTCTGTCCATGTGCCAACAGTGGCCAAATTCATGTTTCTATCCAGACCTCTTCGCTAAGCTTCAGAACAGTAAAACCAACCGCGTATGATTTCTCTGCTCGGGTATCTAGTAGGCACATCAGTCAGCAGGTTGAAATCGTGATTCCCAACACCTTCCTATCCAGGAGGTTCTCCCTTTGACACATATCCAGAACCCACATTTCACTACCTCCCTCAACTCTGCCCTGAGCCCAGCTGTCACCATCTCTCAGACTATTGCAGTAGTCCCCTAACTGGCCTCCTTACTTCCACACATGCCCAACTTTCTAAGAAAATAGACAGGTGACTCAGAGTATGACACTCGACTCAAACCAACCCTGCAACATTTATTATTACTCTGAGTAAACGTAAAAACTCTAGCACTTATCTACCACTCTCCTCCTTGCTCATTCCACAGTAGTTCCACTGTCCTTGAGGGCCCCCACATGAAGCACATTCCTACTTCAGGGGCTTTGCACATGCTTAAAACGCCATTTCACTCTTCTCCCCACACAAACTAGGTTCATTCCCAAGGTTAATTTCATCATAGAAGACTTCTCTGTCCACTGTATATACAGTACCGTGCACTCCTCTTCAATCTTCTCACCCTGCTTTGTCTTTCTACATGCTGCTAAGTCGACCCCTGCCCTATTTGATTGTCCACCTTCCCCAACTAGAATGTAAACTCCCCATGAGAGCAGGGACTTTGCCCCTTTTGTTCATTGCTATATCCCTAGAGCCTAGAACGGTGTCTTATATGTAGTAGGTGGTACAGTGATTGGGTTAAATACACAATATTTATCAACAGGTTTAAAAAAATAATTTGTAGCTAACAGCATTCCTGAGAAGACATGAAGTGTTCAATACCCTTTTGCTTATGAGCCATAATAGTTTAATTGGAATCAGGCAAAGATTTCCTCTTTATTAAACAGGAAAACCGGCCCTGGCCGGTTTGGCTCAGTGGATAGAGTGTCGGCCTGTGGACTGAAGAGTCCCCGGTTAGATTCTAGCCAGGTTGTGGGCTCGGTCCCCAGTGGGGGGCGTGCAGGAGGCAGCCAATCAATGATGCTCTCTCATCATTTATGTTTCTATCTCTCTCCTCCCTTCCTCTCTGAAATCAATAAAAATGTATTTATAAATAAATAAACTGAATTTTAAAAAATCACATCATTAATCTATTTTAGGATCCCACATGCATATTCCTTTAGATCATAGAGATTAAGAACATTTTTTACATTTGTTTAGATTAGTTGCATACAAACATCTTGAGAATATCTTTTTTCCTCCAATACCTCATCTTCTCTAGAAAAAGGAAGGGGTCCCGGGATGTGTAAAAGCTGTGGTATGAAACTCAGCTTTTCAACTCTCCGGTAACTGCACTGTGGGTTCATCCTGACGGGAAAGGCCAAGGTGAATAACTGAAACTCCACACACCTCTTATCGAAACATGCTTTCACTGTTTTGGTGTTGCAGCTGTGTACTGGTCTCCTTTCGAGTGGATTAAGTATGAAAAAGGAAGTTTGTATTACTTATGCTTGTGTCATAAACTTATTTCCAAAAAGTATTCATTTATTAGAGATTTTTAAAAATGCCCCACCCCTTGGCGTCCAGGCCACAGGGGCTAATTTGGGCCTTTGCTTTTGGGTCGGCAGGATCCTCCTTCCTGCCTTGATTCATCTCACGCCCCTTCCTGAGGGCGGACGTCTTCTCTGTGAGGGGCTGTGTGTGATGGGGCTGCGAGGACAGAAGTCCACCCCCCACTCCCCTGTCTTCTCTGGTAACAACTCCGACAGCCAGCATTAACCGAGGCATCTGGCTGTTTAAAACGAGGTGGGGGATAAAGTGCTGCACTGAAAGCTGCGAAGGCTGTCTGGGTAATCCAGCTGCATGGCTGCGTGCCAGCTGCTTCCTAGCTGTGGTGTATTTACGTTACTCAGGCATCTCCCCCCACCCAGAACAGACACGACAGTGAACTCTCCTACCAGAAGGTATAGGGAGGAAAACTCCCTTCCCACCTTCCCTCCTCTCCTTCTGGAAAGAATTAAACAACATGTTTAAACCAGATGTGGGGGCGGCTGGGGGGAGGAGGGGAGCAGGAAGGGCAAAGGTAGGTTAGTGTTCTAACGTGCACAAGGAACATGCTGCTAGTATGCCTCAGAAATTTTACAAAATAATGTTATTTTTGTCAAAAATAACAACAACAAATATGCTTCTGAGAGTTTCAACAGCCAAACTAGTGTAACTGATTCAGGACCTGGTGATGGTCCAGACGTGGGTCCAGGCGCCAACGGAATGGAGCCCTCGTGTCTGAATTTGAGCTAAACTGCCCCGTGGAATCAACGTCAGTACAGATGGTGTTTGACTCCCACCCTCCAAACAATACCATGTTCTTTTTTTTATATATATATTTTATTGAGTTTTTACAG